TCTGTTTCTCAGTTTTCTCATCTGTAAAATGGGCATAATCATAGAACCTACCTCATAAGGTTGTTGTGAGGATTAAACTAGTTAATAGATCCAACGTTTAGAACAGTGCCTGGCACACAGTAAGTGTTCAATAAGTATTAGAGTTATTATTATTTGTCCAATGATTGTCTGGACTTTCTTCTTTCCTGGGTTGCTAGGAACGTTTTGAATCATATGACATTTTTCTGGAACTCATAATCAAAACTTCCCAGCCACACCCAGCTAAACCTGCTCTTCCTACAGAATTTTGTATCTTAGCACATGGCACCACCAGCTACATGAGCCAGTCCTTCATGCCACCATGCTCCTGCCTACCACAGGGTCTTTGCATGTGCTGGTCCTTGTCTTAAAATGTCGTTCCCACTTCTCCCAGGTAATGTCTGTTCCTTTTCAAGATCGCAGCTTCCTTCTGCTGAGATGGCCTGTTTGAGCTCCCCAAACAGAGCAAATATTCTACACCACTTATTTGAGGTACCATTTTACATCTCACTGAGTGATTATTTGATCAATGTCTGTCTCTCCACCAGAATATAAGCTCCATGAGATCCAGGGCAGTATTAATTTTTGTTAATCTTTTGTATCCCCAGCTTCTAGCCCTGAATTACATGATAGGTGCTTGGTAAACATTTGTTGAAAGAATGGATTAGAAGGCTGTAGTTCATGTATTATTTATTATTTAATTCCAAAAATAATACATGGTATTTGTAATAAATAGGAGTAGTATAGAAATGCATGAAGAAATGAAGTAGGGAAAGAAATGCTCCTTTACCTTATAATCTCATCTCCCAGAAGTGTCCTCTATTGACACTCTTATACAAACTTGGTTTATATCCTTCTAGACGTTTTTCCTGTGTTTACCAATCATACATACATACACATATGCATATATGTAGTTCTTATAGGAAAATAGAATCTTATGCTACATATACATTTGTTTTGTTTTATATGATACTGGAGCTATCTTTCTAGGTTGGTACATAATAGAGCTCCCTCATTAAAATGATTATGAAATACTTCAGAAAGGTCTAGAACAATACAATGAGCACACCTGTACCCACTACCCAGCTTGATAAATAAAGATTATCAATACATTGAACAGATCCCCCACCTTGCTATCTTGAATTTGGTGTTTCTCATTCCCATGCATTTCTTTATTCTTCACCTAACTGGGTTTATATCTATAACCATTGGAGAGTCTTTGCCTATTTCCAAATTTTATATTAATGGTATAATTCTATATGTGTTTCCTGCAATTTACTTTTTTCACTCAAATTTATGTTTGTGAGATTCATTCAAACTAAAGTGCGTAGTTCAGGTTCATTCACTTCCCTTGATGTAGCATATTCCACTGCAAGAATGTGATATAAATAGTTACCTATTCTTCTATTAGTGTGCATTTAGTTGGTTCCCTCTCCCCCACTACTTTTTTTAGTATTTCAATCAATGCAGCTATAAAACATTCTTGAATTTGCCTGCTTTTGTGCATATGTGAGAATTTCTCCACAGGTTATACCTGGGGGGGGAAATGCTGAAGTGTAGGGTATGTAGATCTTCAACCTTACTAGACGGCGCCAATCTACCTCTCCCAAGTTCTTTCATTATTTTTTAAAGCTGCATAGTATTCCGTGAAAATAACGTACACTAATTTATTTATCCATTCCTTTTGCTAGATATCCATTTGCAATGTCCTATAATACCCATCTGCTGGATATTATTTGGGGAGTTAAAACAATATTAAATATAAAAATTTCATGTTGAGATGATTCTACTAGCAGAGCACTTGAGAGCTTGGAAGGCCCTCTGGGGTATTTTAAGTTCATTTGATCCACTCCGTGGAGAGAGTCAGGTCAATTATTACCATTGCTATGTTTTATCTTCAATGGATGATGAAACCAAACCTGAGGTATTAGGAATCTCAGGTCCTCGCTGGGTGGGCAGCAGAGCCAGGAGGAGTGGCTCACATCCTTGGTTCACAGCTTGTTCCATTCTACTTCTCTGCCTTCTTACACAGTGCAAAGAAAAAAATGTTGCCTACTATTCCAGTTCTACAAGGATCAAGCCATTAGCCACTTCAGTCATTGCACCCTGAGGCAAATTCAGGATGGAGAAAAACAGGATGCATTCTGTGCTTTAGATATACTGGCCCCTAGACAGTTAAGATATCTATCTAAGGAAAAATTTCAATGACCCTAGATTCTTGCATCTTCCCATACATAGAAAAGCACTAACAACAGTAACTGGAGATGTCTGTTCTTTGTGACTAGCAGTCATCATTTTACGCTTGACTACGTGTTTTTCCCAGCAAAAAGGTTCATCTACATACTGGCTCCTGCCTTACCTCTTCAGCGTAGTTCCTCAAAGCTACCTGAGAGCCTGTCTCCTGGGCAATAGTCCTCAGTAAGGTCCCGAATAAAACTTTACTCACAACTTGTACGTTGTGCGATTTTAGTGCAGTCGACAACAGCTACTGAGTGGTTCAGCTGGTAACTATAACTGGTCAGAGCATTGGAAACAATGTGAGAAAGGAAGGCCCCATAAAGATGGAGGAAGAAACACGCCTTCTTTGTTGCACCTGTGAAAACTGCAGAGTATCAGCTCACAGGCTGTGCTGCTGGGCTGCATTGTCCTGCGAAAAGGGAAACAGATGGCAATTTAATAGGAAGCTGATAGCATTGTTTGGGGTTGGGCAGGGGCTCTCTGGGGAACTAGGAGAGAAGCTTTCAGCTAAGAGCCACAGCAGCCTGGAGAAGGAACTTCTGTGGCCACTTCCTGCCCACCTCTGCTCTAGGAGGAGCCCGAGGGGACAGGAGTCATAGGTCTCCATGGTCTGCCTGGTGCTGTTTCTGCCAGAACTCCCTTGAGAAGCCAGAAGTTATGACCCCAGGGTAGAGGCGTGTGTATGTGCGTGTGCGTGTGCGTGTGTGTGTGTGTGTGTTGGAAGAAGGGCTGGCCAGATGGTGAAAGCTGAGTATATAAATGGCATCAGAGCGGGAATGCTGAGGATGGGGAAACACGTTAACCAGATGTGCTTAGGGCACGGGGCACAAACAATGTGCATAATGCCCACCCCTCATTTCTCCCTTTTTCTTTTTTATATGCTGGCACATGTCCTGAACTTGAATGGCTCTGACCTGAATGGATGCAGCTGCTGTGCACAGCTTCTCTTAGGAGTGGTGGGGAAGCATGGTTTAAAAACCGGAAACCCAGGCTCTGCCACTAACCAGCTATGTGATGCTGGGAAAGTCCCTTTGCTTCCCGGCGATGCTTATCCTTTAGGAAATGCCAAGATTCCTTCACCGCTGCAGATCCACCTTGTGCCTACTCTGCAGGTCTGGGGTTGTAGGCTGCTATCGGGGGTTTAAAAGTAAGCAAGATATGATCCCTTCCCAGCACCTTTTCTCCAGCTCCTGCCCAGGTTCTGAATGTCTAGCTCCTGGTTAGCAACCAAGTATCAGACAAAGAATCAGAATTAAGGTTGTTCTGGGAACGAGGAAAACAGGATTGAATGGCTCTGAGGTCTGCTTGGTGCTTCTTTTGAGTTTCCTCCACTGAGAAGGTCGAGTGAGTCACAAATGCTATTCTTTGACACTGAGTATCGTGGTCTGCCCAGCCAAGGCCACCTCCTGAAATCCTCATAACCCAAGACACAAACACCCACGCTGGGTTTGGATGACGCGCCCACTCTTCAATTCTCTCTGGATGCCACTTACATGCCGCATGTCCCTTGATCTGGGTACTCCGGAGTCCCATCCTCTTCTCGCCTTTCCTATTCTCATTGTGTATTCTCCAGCTGGAACATCATGTGATTTCCCACGGTTACCCAAAGACCAATGGTTCCCCGCCCATATTCTCTGGTCTGTGGCTCTCCTCTAAGTTCCATTTTAAATGACTACATGCCATCTCGACTTGAATGACCTGCAGGCGTTGACACTCACCGTGTCCAAACCGCACCCCTCAACCTCACTCCCAGCTGCTTCCTTTCTCCAGCGTTTCCTATTTGATGGCTGACAGCCTCACCTGTAAGCACCATGCTGGGAGGATCCTTGGACCCATCACTGGATCCTTTTTCAAATCAACTCTTTTGGGGTTCTGTTCCTGGTAGAAGAAAATCCAGAGCCTTTACGGTGACCTGAGAAGCCTGGCTGCCTTTCCAGCTTTTTATCCCCTTCTTTGTTCTCACCCGGCAGCCACCTTGAGTTCAGCCTGTGGGTCCCAGGGCCCTCACTCTTGTCCTGATGGGGACAAGGGGGGTACTTTGTCCCCATCAGCTTCCCATCCCTGGAATATTATTTGGGGATATTATTTGGGATATATTATTTTCTTCCCCACATCCAGTCTCCTTACCTGCCTGACTCCTTTCTCCTCACCTTCCAGAACTTCAAATAGCATCTCCTTTCCTTGGGCTTCCTTGGCCCTCTCATCTAGGTTGGTGGCTCCTCCTAGGGGTTTCCATGGTATCCTGCAGTGACCTTGATCCCTGATGACATAATTGAAGGTGCTCTTCCAAAGCGAGACTTGGTGATTATCTCTCCTCTGCTCCAGGCACAGTGGCTGGCTCTCAGCATGTGGGATAAATAAACACATTTTATAAAGAGGGAAAGAAACTCTTTCCCAAAGTTTTCTTGGGGTGTGGGTAGGATCTCAGGGTTTGAATATATCCCCGTACATTTCTGAGATTTGCCGCAGGGAAAAATCCTGAAGGATGTCCACAGGTTCCAACAAATCCTCCTAACTAGCTGATTTCTTAGATTTCCCGGTGCTTCCTGTCACCAGCTTCTCCACTTTGCTGTGAGGAGTTGACCAGTTGGCGACTGTCCAGGAGTTGGTGACTGACAGACACCTGGGCATCTTTTGCCAAGTTTCAGGGAAAAAACAAGGTAGAGAATCGAGTGTCAGCTGTCCAGGTACTGGGCGGCAAAGCTGATGACTTCCCGTAATATATTCATCTGTGCTTTCAACAGAGGCAGTGTGCAAAAATGCAGAGCGCCGTGGAGCCCAGCTGAGGATGTGGCCGTTGCCGTGGGTGGAGGGGTCTGTGAGGAACGGAGGCCGTCACTGGAGGTGAGGTTGGGAGGTCAATATTTCAGGTTCTTGGAGAAATAACTGCAGAGGCAGTCAGTCAGAAGGGGGTGTGGTTGTGCCCCCCTGTCCCATGCCCCGGTTTCTTGGCACTTAGGCAGCCATCAGATTAATGAAATCTTTTCAGTTTTCACAGAATTTACAACCTCACAAGGAAAAAGAATGTTTTCGCACTGGATGGAAGATTTAAAACAACATCCAAAAGAGCAAAACCTTTTCTATATAAGGGCATAAGCACTTGCCTTCTACACAATGTTGCGAGTTAATATCTTTGTCTCAGGGGTATAATTTTTCTCCTCAGTCTTTACAGCTATTTCCAGAATTGCAAAGACTATTTACAAAAACTGTGTCTAAAGTCTCAAATGCCCGAGTCAGCTCCATGTGTGGATGGACAGGGGAGAGGTGAGGGGAGTCCTACTGGGGGATGAGAAAGTTATTGCCTTTCAAACGCCAGTGTGTAACCTAAATCAAATTTTTAAAAAAGCTTCAGAACTATAATGCCTTTAAAAAAAAAAAAAAACTTGAATGATGCTGAGAAAGTTGAAGCAAAATGAATTTAATTACTGAATCACTGGTGGTAATTAAAAAACAAGTTATCTGTAATAAACTATATTTATAGATTTTTCCAATGCAAAGGTATAGGACTTATGAAACACAAATGATTAGAAGTGTAGGTTAGATTTAGAAAGGAAATCTGAATAGAAATGATTCCCTTCCATGGATAACAATATTTGATGTTAAATTTGGTTCTTTTACTACTCAAGCAATCAACATATATAAAATAAAGTTAGAGTAAACTATATTTTTCATCACAAAAGTGTCTTTTAATTTGTAAAACATCAAGTCACACCATGTTCTACTACAAGCATTAATAAATTGCTTATGTTATGAATTATGTTTAGAAAAATGTGCTTGTCCACATTTTTAGAAGCAGAGCTATCAGAGTAGCAAATAATTTTTAAATGGATATTTAGAACACATTAGGGTGAGTGTTATGTTTAGAGCTTGGGTATTCTTACTGAAGATTATTCAGTTTAAGATTCAACAGCACACACAATCTCTGGGAAATGTGTGTCCTCAGCAAGAGCCTGCTTGGGCATCTTTTCCTTATACTTAGGAAGAAAAATCCGGCCTGGGACATCCGGGTCCCAGAGAGGCACCTCCTCTGTGGTTCACAGGGAGACCACTCAGTTCCTGGGTTCAAGTCTTCCCTCGGTCACTTTTTCACTGCAAGATCTTGGCAAGTTACTTAGCTTTTCTGTGCCTCAGTTTCTTCCTCAGTAATTTGGGGATAATAGTCTCTTCATAGATTTGCTGGAGGATTAAACCAGTTTATGTAAAGCTCTGGAACAGTTTATGATGGGCACGTAGTAAATCTTCAATAGACATGAACAATGATTATTATTGACGTTGGAAAGCTCTCACTCTTTCTAAGGATTTGGCATGAATCAATGTCTTTTGAGTCAGCAGAGCGAATCATTTTCTGTGAACAGTCAATATTATTTAGATAAAGTAACTTCTCTTCAGTGCCTTGGCATCAATTGTTCAAAAATAAAATAAAAAGACAAAGGGGAAAAATTCCTGGCAAAGAGACAAGTTTTGAGAATTGTTTTAAAGCAGTCATTGTATTCAGGTGGCTTACTATAAACAGGGAGGGAGGTAAGGAGGAAATCAGAGCCCATTGTGGGTCCATAAAATGGATGTCTTTTCAACTAAACAGATTGCTATCAGCCTCACAGGGCCGACTCACGTTCCTTTTTGCCCGGTCATTTCCTTTACTGAGTGTAAGAACCACCCACTTGGGTGTTTCTCAGGATTATAGGTTTTTCAGGTCAAACAGAAACCCTGGGAGCGCCCAGCGCAGCCCCATGCACGCGGTTACATTATGCACCGGCTGGGTGCCATCGACCCTGCTGCTGTGGTGTGTCCTGGAAGCTGTTGTGCCTGATTTGCAGAGATTCTCTCAGAGTGTGGCCAGCGGCGACCAGCATCACAGGGTAAGAGCTTGGCTCTGAAATCCTGAAGTCTTCCTGGTGGGCTGAAGGCTGCACGTGGGAATCCCTCCATTCATTTCAGAAGCTGAACCAGTGGGCCCTGCTCACTTGCATCCTCTGTCATCCTCGGCCCCCATGATGGACGAGACATGGGAGCCTCTGGCCATGACTGTCCACCTCCTGGCCAACTCCGGGCATGGCTCGCTTCTGCAGCAAACCCTGGACCAGCTCCTGGACTGCATTTGCCCAGAGGTCCGTGTCTTTCTGGTGTCTGAGCGGGTCAGTCCAGTGAAATACTATGACAAATGCCACTCCAAGCGGTCCCGCTTCCCGGGGATGTCTGTTCTGCTCTTCCTGCACGAAAGCTTCGGAGAGGAGCGGCTGTTTCGCGTCCTTGACTCCCTACAGCATTGGCCGTGGCAGTGCTACCCCACCCAGAATGCGCAGGGAAGACCGTGCCCCTATATTCTTGCCAATCAGGAATTCTATAGTCTGGACAACCAGATGCCCATTTGGGGCGTGAGACAGGTGCACTGTGGCACCGAGATCCTGAGAGTGACGCTCTACTGCAGTTTTGGTAACTACGAGGATGCCATCAGGCTCTATGAGATGATCCTGCAGAGGGAAGCCACCTTGCAGAAGAGCAGCTTCTGTTTCTTCGCGCTCTACTCCACCGAGAGCTTTGCCCTGCAGCTCTCACTGAAGCAGCTGCCCCCTGGAGTGTCGGTGGACCCCAAAGAGGCTTCAGTGTTGCAGTTCAAGGTTCAAGAGATTGGCCAGTTAGTGCCTCTTCTACCCCATCCGTGTGTCCCCATCAGCCATACCCGGTGGCAAACACAGGACTATGACGGCAACAAGATTCTACTTCAGGTATTTCTGTTTGGTCTCCATGATCTTTAGATGCACATGTAACTGTGTGATGTGACATCCAAGAGATGATTTAATGTCGTAGTTCTCAACCTTGGTTGCACACCAAAGTCTCTGGGGAGTTTTCAAACGTTCCCGTGCCATGGCTGCACCCCAAGTCAGTTAGATTAGAATCTTTAGGGGCACACTGGCTTGGGTAATACTTTTAAAACTCCTTGGATGACTCTAATATGTAGCTTGTAACGTGGTTGAGAGGCACTGATTTAATAAAATCCCTTCCTCTGACAGATAAGGAAGTTCAGATTCTGTGAGCTGGTAACTTGCACAAGTAGTTTGCAATAGAATCAGGCAACACCCTACTTCTCAGATTTTCCTTTAATCATGCTACTCAACTATACACAAATACTTTGCCCACTCTTTGGGTCCAGAAATATCATTAGTTCTTTCCATCTGGACCTAAGGAAGCTGAAGCTGTAATTACGGTTGGGGATGTTAAGTATGCCATCCTATTGACTTAATTTTTAAGCATCTTGCATCACTGTCAAATTTTACCCCAAATAAAGTTATATAGTTAGAACCCTTCAAAATAAAATCTTAAAATTAAAGCCTTCTTCTGTAGGCATCCTATTGAAAGCAAGCACAATCGTGATAGCTACCATGTGTCATTTCTTATGAAGGATTATGTGGCAGTTGAACCTTGCTCTTTAGTAGCTGTGTGATTTTTGAGCCTTGGGTTCTTCATTAGCACAATGAGGGTAATATTAGCATCTTCCTAGAGTACAGGTTGTTATCTCTGCTAAATGACCTGACATTTACAAAGTGCTTTAGTGCCTAGAATTCAATTTTAGCTGTTGTTGTTCATATTATGCCCTAGAGTATGTATTTCACATTGATTGTTTTATTTAGTCCTTCTTACAACATAGGAAGTTTTGCAGAAGGGAAAATTGAGGGGTAGAGGGAATAGTTACTTGCCCAAGACACAAGAGGAAGTGTTTACGTGGTTCCAAAGCCAGGCAGCTAACCACTGCAGTCCAGTGCTGTGTGCATGTGTGTGTGTGTGTGTAAGTGTGTGCAGGCAGGGAGGTGTACGTGATATTCACAGCAAAATTTCTGTCCTTGAGAAATGGTCAGTAACCCTTTTAAGGCCTATTGGATAAAGTAAAAACAGGCTAGAAGATGAATTATCTTTCCTTTTGATTAATTTTGTTGTCATCAGCTTTGAGTTATTAATAAAACATGAGTCATATTGATAGTGTATGTGATGATCTCTAAATTATTTACCTTCTCATTCACATAAGGTGGACAGGCACAGTTTCTCTTAGCTGCCTGTTACATAGCTCACTAATTTCCAAGGCATCTAAAGTTTTTCCTTCAGCCTTAGTTAATCTCCAGAATCTAAACCTCACTGTCAAGCAAAAATTTAATATGTGTGTGCAGCAGGGGACACATTTCTGTTTCAAAGGCTAACTGACATTTTAACTTCTGAACCACGGCTTATACAACTTAGTTCCTTTGGAAAGTTAAGTCAAATTTGGGGAGTGAAGAATAGTTTTTTGGATAAAGACGTCAATGAGTTTAGGCTTTTGCCAACAAAATGGGTGATTATCTTCTGGAAACTTCTGTTTCTGGTGTCCTATAAAAGTCCCTGAAGAAAGCATATACAGAGGCTTGGCTATAATACACTATAAAAGATAATACCTTGTAGCTACTTCACTCCTATAATGGGGTGAATTTTTCCGGATAGAAAACCCAGCCCAAACTTCTGTGGGGGCAGAGAGGATGGGGGGGGCAAATGAACTGGCTTTTGTAAGTAAGTAGCCTGAGTCTTGAGGCTTAGGAGCTGACTCCCAGCTCCGCCACTTCCTCAGACGGGCCCTTGTGGTCACCAGCTGGCTGCCAGCAGCTCTGAGGACTACCCTTTTGAGTTCCTCACCCTACAATGGGCCAACAAAACTTCTGGACTTCACGTCAATTGGACCAACTTGGATCCGATTCTCTTCTCTAAATCAATCATTGCATTCTGGGGAATGGGATTAGGTGGATTAGCTTAGTTCTGAGGCAAAGGCTCTACTATCCTGCATCCCGAGATTTTTTGTGGACTCAGACTCTCTTGGCACTCATGGAGGTGGGGGACAAGGGTCCCCAAGGAAGATCAGTGAGGGGACAAATGCTGGGTGGCAAAAATGACTAATGTCCACCAGCGAAAGAAACTAATATCTGTTTAAGGGAGAGCTTTAATCACAAGTTAACTTCCCCATGTGTAACCCCTCCAGGATGGACATGTGTGTGAGGTGGGGGGGAAAGGGGGGGATGCTAGACCCAATGAGGGTGATGGGCAAAGCTTCCCTGAGAGGTGATGCCTGGGCCTGGCTGAGCTGGATGGCCCGGAAGGAAGTAGCTAGATGGGGAAGGGAGGAAAGTGTTCCAAACAGAGGAGATGGTGGGTGACAATGTGTGGAATAGGATTTCCTTAGCAGGCATGTTCAGAAAAGCGCCTGTGGTTCCATGTGGCTGGAGAGAAGGGAGGGGGTCGGGCGGGGGAGGATGGGCAGGTGGGTAGAGGCCACATCATCAGGCACGTGGTCAGCCACTGGAGGTAAGCACCATGAGGACAGGGACCTTTTTCGGTCCACTCTTTTTTTTAAATTTTATTTTATTTACTTCTTTATACAGTAGGTTCTTATTAGTCATCAGTTTTATACACATCAGTGTATATATGTCAATCCCAATCTCCCAATTCATCACACCCCCACCCCCAACCCCCTGTGGCTTTCCCCCGTTGGTGTCCATACGTTTGTTCTCTACATCTGTGTCTCAACTTCTACCCTGCAAACTGGTTCATCTGTACCATTTTTCTAGATTCCACATACATGCGTTAATATACGATATTTGTTTTCCTCTTTCTGACTTACTTCACTCTGTATGACAGTCTCTAGATCCACCCACATCTCAACAAATGACCCAATTTCGTTCCTTTTCATGGCTGAGTAATATTCCATTGTATATATGTACCACATCTTCTTTATCCATTTGTCTGTCGATGGACATTTAGGTTGCTTCCATGACCTGGCAATTGTAAACAGTGCTGCAATGAGCACTGGGGTGCATGTGTCTTTTTGAATTATGGTTTTCTCTGGGTATATGCCCAGTAGTGGGATTGCTGGGTCGTATGGTAGTTCTATTTGTAGTTTTTTAAGGAACCTCCATACTGTTCTCCATAGTGGCTGTATCAATTTACATTCCCACCAACAGTGCAAGAGGGTTCCCTTTTCTCCACACCCTCTCCAGCATTTGTTGTTTGTAGATTTTCTGATGATGCCCATTCTAACCGGTGTGAGGTGATACCTCATTGTAGTTTTGATTTGCATTTCTCTGATAATTAGTGATGTTGAGCAGATTTTCATGTGCATCTTGGCCATTTGTATGTCCTCTTTGGAGAAATGTCTATTTAGGTCTTCTGCCCATTTTTGGATTGGGGTGTTTGTTTCTTTACTATTGAGCTGCATGAGCTGTCTATATATTCGGTCCACTCTTATACTCCCAGTACCTAGAACAGCATCTGGCACATGGTAGGCAAATCCATTCTAGTGTGAATGAGCAAAAGCTTTGCCAATTAGCTTCTATCTTATTCTGACTGCAATCAGCAGTCACTGACAGAGCCACTGAATGGTACTGACATGTACAATTTGCATTATGAGGATCAAAAAGGAGAGTATACATGGAGGTGCTTTGTAAAGTAGAAACTGTAGCACAGTTATTGTCTGTGTAAGAAGGCTGCTAGCTGTCTCTCCATGTCTTTTCCCACATAACCTCCTGTCAGCGCACACTGTCTGATGCTTCTTAGAGCCTAGGATGTGTATTTTTGATGAGATTGATATTAGGGTACCTAGTAGATGCTCAGTAAATGAATGAATGGCTGAATACAAAAGCAGGTATGTCAAATGTTTATTCATCCACCAAGTGTTTATTAAATGCATACCTTGGGCTACCCTATTCTCCACTTGGCAGTTTTCATTCTGCTATCTCAGTCCTTAGTGGATGCATCTTTGGTTTGGCGTCTGACATAAATTTGGGGAAATTCTCAGTCATTATTGTTTCAAACATTTCTTCTATTCCATTCTCTTTCTCATTATTTGTCTACCACTCCTGTTTTAGTTGTCCCATAGTCTTTAGATAGTCTGTTCTGGGTTTATTTTCTCAGACTTTCTTTTTCTCTCTGCTTTTCTTTTTCAAGGATTCTGTTGATACATCCTCTAGCTCAGAGATTCTTTCCTCAGCTGTGTTTAGTCTGCAAATAAGCCCATCAAAAGCATTCTCTATTTCTGTTACAGTGTTGTTGTTGTTGTTTTATCTTTTTGGTTCTTCTTTTAGGATTTCCATCTCTCTTTTCACATTGCCATCTGCTCTTGCATGCCGTTTACTTTATCCATTAGAGTCCTTAGCATATTAATGAGTTGTTTTAAATTACAGGTCTGATAATTACAACATCCCTGCTATGACTGCTTCTGATACTTGCTCTGTCTCTTCAAATTGTGCTTTTTACCTTTTGTAATGCCTTGTAAATTTTTCTTGATAGCCAGGCATGATGTAGCAGGTATAGGAACTGCTGCAAATAAGCCTTTATTAATGTGGTAGTAAGGAGTTGGGGGAGGGGAAGCATTCTATAATTAGGTCTCTGTCTTAGTGAGTCTATGCCTTGAACTGTGAATTTTGCAAGTGTTTAATTTTTTTTTTTCCTCCTTGCTTAGGTGGGCGAGAATGGCTAGAGTGGGCTGGAGTTGAGTACTTCCCTTCTCTCACATGGAAGGCTAGAGAAAGCTGGAGTTGGGTATTTCTCTTCACCCAGGTCAGTTAGGCTCTGATAATACGCCAGCATGTTAGGCTCTGGTTAACTAGTTTCCCCTGAGAGAAGGACTTGTAAGAACAGAGTGCTCTGGAGTATTTAAAAATGGTCCCTTTTCACCTAGAGATTCTCATACTAAGTGAAGTAAGTCAGAGAAAAA